AATAATTGTAATTATTTTATATATTTGTTTAATAATCTAATAATTGTTTATATTTCAATATATTTATAGTTATTTTTTAAGAAATAATTAAAAAAAAATTGAAAAATTTACAAGTTAATGCAATTCTACGAAATATTTACTAAATTCTTAAAAAAACCTTTGGTCTAAATTTGTGCCAATAAAAAATGTTTAAATATAAATTAAACTTAAAGTGAGTTAAATTTTCATTTATTAAATTATTTTGAAAATTTACAAGGAAATGTAACTCCTAATTCTACTAAATAATTAAGAAATTCTTAAAAAACTTTTGGTACTAATTTGGGACAATAAACATGTTTAAATAGATAAAAAAAACATAAAGTGATGAAAATTTGTTGTTATTTCTAGTCTAGTTTTATTGTTGACAATATATCATTAAATTCCTGTATTTTTTCTAGGAAATAGGACAGAAATTCAATGTTGCATGCGCGTGTTGTTGGAGAAAGTTGAACGTCATAAATCAAAATTATTCTCAGTAAAACTTTATACTTATTTATTTTACTTTCTTTTCGTATAATAACTAACATAATTTTTAAAACAAAAATTAATTGGACTGTTTGAAAAAACTATATTTTTTTGTATAAATACTAGGAAATCTTTGTTTATAAAATATTTTATAAGTCCAATTATTTTTAATATGATGCAATGTTTTCCTGAAAATCCAATTTCATGAATTCAGAACATTATGTTTCCTTACATATCTAACAGAATTCACTATTTTATAATATACTTAAAGTAAATTTATGACTGAGTTATAATTATACAAAAATTATACAACAAAATTCGGAAATGTAGTTATAACTAAAGCATAAATGTGGAATTAGACAATAGTGATTTAGATTAAAAATCGTCTTAAGATGTCTGTTTTCAACATGACTATAAACCGTGCATTGTTCTGACATTTACAGCGCTGACCCAACTCACAATTTAGTCAACTGCAAAATTCCAGAATAAGCGAATTTTCCTCATAAGTCATATGATTTATAGTATTGTTTATATTCAAAACAAAACAAACAACGTAATACTTTATATAACATTGCACTTGTTCGAAAACTCATAAGAAATATTTTCAATGTATTTATTTTATATTTATTATAATATAAAATTGATAGATTTTAAACATAAATGAAATAAACTAATTTATTGTTCAAGTATTACACTTACATGGAGAGTAATAGAAACATTATAATATCTCGCATAGTACGGGTCTGTTTGAAACCGGACTAATCGAGGACTTTACTGCATAATGAAAAAAAAAACAAACATGTTGTGTACTATTGTATTATAATTTATTTTAGTTTGTTTTGTAATTTTCAAATCGTACTATAATGAATCCGCACTGATCGAAAGATCACTAACCTTTGTATTTCTGTATTAGTAAGATAAGTCTATATTTTATCTATTTAGAAAGAAATTTATTTAAAAAAATATCACCAATTAATAATTTCGATAAAATTCTATGAGAAAATGTATGTTTTTATCTCACAACAAAACTTTTGTGCTGTTTTTTTATATATATTTTCTAATTGGGTTAATAGCTCGGACTGCTAATTTATTGAAGGCTTCGTGCATATTCATTTTGGTCGAATTCGGAATTCGTAATTCCCAATGTGCATACACAATGAGTAATGCGAAATGTACAATTGCGCGTACATATTTAAATTGAAAAAATTGATTGATAAAGAATAATTAATGAAATGCAAACGCATCTCGAAATAAAAAGAAGAAATTTATAACATTATTGGTAATGCGATTTATTTTGATTACATTTCGCTGTTATTAATTATAATTTTAATCAATTTCAATTTGTTTGTTTATATTATAATTATAAATAAAACAAACAATTATTAATTGTTTAATTTCAATTTAAATTTATTTATTTTAATTAAATTTGACTTTGCCAACAGATTGTGTCCAATAAATATGTTTAAATTTGTAGAAAATAACGAGTTATTAATTAATATAATTTAAAAATGCATTTCCATTCAAAATTCGGCAAATTATTTAGATATTATCAATGAATGAAATTTACTATTATTAATATTAGTTCTTTTTATTCATGAAATTATCAATTTCATCAGATTTTCCTTACATTTTTCTTGAGAATTTCGTATATGGAATTAGAGTAACTTTAATTAATCGAATTTATAACTAAATCCTTTATCAATTCTTAAATTTGTATTGCAACAAACTTAGATCGTTCCAAAATTTGCGGACTTCTCTTCTTATCATTACTCGTTATACGAAACGTCGCTCGTTAAGCGAGTCATTTTCCTTACCATTTATTTTGCTCGTTATGCGAAATGTTCGTTAAGCGAACTATAAACTTTACTATAAACTTCATACATACAACCTAAATAAATAATATAAAAAGTTTCTATAAACTACGATTTTCTTAATGGAACTGAGAATGATGGTTTAACACAAGTTGTTCTGTTATACTTTGGACTTTCTTTTGTCATCATCTCATATAGTTTTGAATTGTTGAAAAGTTTCAATTGATTTCCTTTTGTCCAGAAGTTTTTGAGATAGGAAAATACGAAATATAAAACTCATTTAATGAGTCTTTTATTCCAATTATTTACTGTTTGAAACCAGACTAATCGAGTAACAAAATACATACATAAAAATGATAAACCGTACAAAAAGAGGCTTGATTATATAAAGAGAAAAACCGCACTAATTTAATGACAATTTTAATTGATATTTAATTTTATATAAATTGATACAAACTTTAATGAACTTTAATTTAAAACAATTCTAACTTACAAATTGTTTATTTTTTATATTTATTTCAAAATTAAACGTTTATTGTACAGAAAAATACTGCTTTGAAAGGCTTTTCTCATAGGTTAAACGATGCGTCTAAAGGTTTTGTATTTGGTCCGGACATTGAAGAATTGCTTGCTCAACACGACACGAACGAAGACGTATTAGTTGTGATAGTCATCATGTGAAACTAATTCTTTTTTTAAAGCTATAATGGATGGTCAGAATGCAGTTATTAAATTACAAAACAAATATTTACTATTCTTTATACAATCATTTACAATCTTATTCAAGCGTATATTAATTAAATCTAGACATTTTGCTTTTTTTGGTAAACTTTCCAATTGAAGTTTTTACCATTATATTCTTCTGTAATTTGTAAGTTGGCTGTTGTGTTGTAGGTTAACTTCAGTATATTGATGCTCTGGGATTCCACTATTTCCTTTGACTATGAATCTGCTGCTATGCTTAAAATTGTCATTGAATAAAAAAATTGAGTAAATTATTGAAAGACTTTTTGAAATTTATTTAAAGTATTTTAAGCAAAATTTTCGAAATTACTTTTGTTTTGCTAAACATTTTTTACTGTATTGTATAGAAATATTGATTGAAAACTGTAAATATAAGTTTCTAGATGAATTAATGAAAATATTTTAGAATTTTTACATAAATTTCTTATTTATTTCATGCAATATAGTATTTTCTTATTATTTTGGTTGCTGCAACAAATGCGTAGAATTAAAGTTTTTTCTTTTGTATATCGGAATAGAATTGTACAATAATTAGAAAATAATATATATTTTGATCAATTACATTCATTAATTGATCTGGATAATGAAAATAATTAATACCTGCACCCCTTGTTTTCGTGTAGCTTTTAATTAGCTTTCGTACATAGTTATTTATTTGCATATATATTTTTTCCTATGAATTCGTGGAACTTATCTGGCGCGTAAATCAAGCACATTATTTAACCGGAGCCAAAACATGTTATTCCTGCTTAACGTAAATAATATATATCAAGCCAGTTTCAGCAGCTAAAAGAAAACATAATCAGCAAAGAAAAATCGTCGCAAAAAAAAACTTCTTCTCTCTCTCATTTCGACGTATAACACGTTGTAATTTAGCCGTTCATTTTTTTTTCCTTGTTCTCTTGTATACTTCCTCGAAGAAACTACACGTTCAAGTTAGAATTAATAGCTTTCTGCATCGATTTTTTATTTTCTTTCGCACACGTTTTTCCTTTTTCCGGAATCCTTTCAACGCTAACATGATTTATCCACTTTTTCCCCTTCATCCTAATCCCAATTCAGAAAAACTTCGTCCATCCGAACAGGACCAACTCTGATCTAAATCAACATTCGCGTAAAACGTGATAACGCCCAGTTTAAACAATGCTCCGAGGATGGATGATCAATGCATAATTGCGCAACGGTTGGTATTTTATTCGATGCGACGCTTCGTGTTTTATATAACAGGGGATGGCCGCTCCGGGGGGGTTGATTTACGTGGAATTAAGCCGCCCTCACAAAGAATGATAGTTTATTGTCTGCGTAATGGACGCAATCAACGCGCTTTGTTTTATTATCAAATTGTCTATTAAATATGAGGACAAAGTTCGATATTCGACAGCGCGACAAAGGATAAAAGCTGTTAATAATCGAATTGCTGCTGCAAAATTTCACACGTTCTACTCATTTTTTTTACTTCTGTAATTATAAAGGATGCCACAATCCAACGCAGGAAAGTTACACAAGAATAATTGACAGATAAAATATTAAGTTTAACAAACCACGCCATCTTTTGGTTATATTATCATACAACTTACATAAAATTTTCATTTATAAATACAAATCAAAAACATCCAGGATCAATTGTATCCAGGAGTTAATTCTATTAAGACATCTCTCTAACTGGTATCTTTCTTGCATCATTAAAGAGCAATCAGTCATACAACTTACAGAACATTTTCAGAAATTTATACAAATCAACAACATCCAGGATCAACCGTATTCAGAAGTTATGATGTAGTTTATTTTATAACCCTTCTAGCCCTTTTATACATCATAAAGGAGCAACCAGTCATACAACTTACATAACATTTTCAGACATGTATACATATCAACAACATCCAGGATGAACCGTATCTTTATTGCATCATAAAAGAGCAACCAGTCATACAAATTTTTAACAAGCTCAACCGTTTCCAGGAGTTAGAAACTCTAGGAACAGTACCAATTTAAGACACTATGAGATATGTCATAATATCATAATGTAATGTAAATTAACTTTCAGTTAAAGTTAGTACCAACTTTAATAAATATATAACTCCATATTCAGTTAATATTGTTAGGGAAATTTATGTTTTAATCACCAAACAAACTTATATCTGTAATATGATGTTAATATCAAATAAACTGAATAACACTGAAAACTCACCTGAAAATCGATGTACGCTAATGTATCCTAGACCATCCTAGACACTTAATTACAAATCGGCACAAAAGGAAAACGCGCGCACTCACTGATCCTATGCGAACACCGGAAATTCGATACCTAGAAAAGAATAATAGCAGAATTAGATTACTCTTCGTTTTTTTTTTGATCTTATAAACTACAAGCTTTGTCGAAAATCTGATTTATATTTTTGGGATAAAACTCGGTGATATACAATGGGACTACGGCGGAATCGGTTATCAGCGAAAATTGCCCGGAAAATTATAAATTGCAGCCGAATTTCGATCGTTCCGTTTATCATGCATCCCCTCAAACAAAAAAGGACCAAAGGATTATCAGCATTCCCTCAGTCCATTCGCTCTTCACGGCCCTATAAATCGAAAGGGCTTAATCAGGAAATTTGTTGAGGACTGTAGCGCAGTCAAGCGATTCATTCGCTCTTTACAAATACACAGATAGATCTTATACATTTTCTATAAATAAACCGTTGTTTCTAGTAAAATCAATCATCAACATTCACTATTAGTGAGAAGCTTTTAGAAATTACTTTTTAACTATAAACTGAACTTCTTTTTCAAATGACACAACTGTCATTTTATAAATTAAACGATTCTTTCACTCTTTACAAGTATGCAGACTTCTTATACAAATGACACGAGACATCAATGACAGGACTGTCAACTATGATTTACGTCAACTGTCAACAACTGTCATTTTATCAATTAAAGAACAATACTTATTTCTAATTTTGGATTTAATAATGATTATGCATAGTTTTATGAATGGAATGAAAATACTTATTTAAACTATAATTTAAAATTTAGAATTAGTTTTAAAAACGAATAAAAATTTAAAAAAAAAGCCATAAAAAGTAATTAATTTTTTACCAATTAATTAAAAATGCAATTTACTAAAACTTTCCTCAAAACGTACATAAATTTCACTCTATTTTTCACTGTAAACTGAAACCTCGGTAAAGTCAACGTTATTAAACATTAATAAAAGTTTGATTACATTAAAATTATTTTTTTCATGAAAAAAGGAGAGAATGAAAAAAAAATCGATTCCAGACTTGTATTAGCTCCACGAAATTACAGCGATCGAGAAAACGAAACCTTTATCGTGTTTCCTGTTAATTTTACTGACGTTTTAATCCGGAAATTACATGAACCGTCGCTTATATTTAATCTTCTTTCAGATTCTTTTATAAAGATATTAAAATACAAAAATATATATATATAATTTTGTTGAATTCTTTTTTCAGAGTTTAATTATATAACATTAATATTGAATTAAAACTAATTAAAATTCTTCTCATAACGTTTAATTAAAAAATACAATGTTGTTACTTTTTCTTTAGTTATGAGTTGAATTATACAAGATGATAAAGGATGAAATAAAGAACAAATTAAATAAGACTTAAAACTGTACCAGGTGGAATACAGTAAAAACTATTTAGAATTTGTTTGTTATTCAAATTGCAATCAATTTTTTTTTCTGAAGACGTAAAACTGTCTACTTGATTAATTTATTTGTCTTTTTATGAAACCGTAAAACGTATCCATGTAAATAAAGTGGACGTACGTCATTGATGCAACTCGAGTATTACACTTAAACGACGAAGTTTTTAAATGATTCCAATTTGAATACAAATGATAATTATTTGGCAGAAAAACTTCAGCCTTGACCTTCTGAACCAATAATTAATTATAAACTAATTATAATTATAAAATAGAAGATATTTTCAATAAATAATATTATGAAATAATCCGGTTAAAATAAATCAGTTACAATGTGGAAACCGACCGGTTGCATGAAAATCAGCTTTTTAATTAAATATAGAAAATTGAACTGATCGTTTCATTTATAATGCAAATTGATTTCGATGGAAACAAACACGATGAATCTGCAAAACGTTACCAAAACTGATTGATTTCAACTGTATATCAATTAAATAAAAAAATATTGGATTTTGTGCATTAATCTGAATTGTAATTTAGAATTGAAATTTCATTTACTAGACAAAATAATTGTAAAATTAATCGAAACAAACTGAAATAAATATGAGAATAATTAAAATAGTCTGGCTGTGTTCTTTTCCAATTAAACTTTTTTTTTGTTTTGTCTTAAAAGAACGGAAACTTACGCGTTCTGTTTCCAGGTACATTTCGTGTAGTGTAATTCGTTAGTGTACTAACAAATAAGTTTGTATATTCAGAAATAATTGGTTTTCTAAAGCAAACGACTAACATAAAAAAATAAACGAATCGTACGAACGTCAATATTAATCAAGCGCTCGTGGAAAATAACCGCATTTCTTTATTAAAACTTTGTTTGCGGTTCGGCAACATTTTGGGTTTCGAAGGAGGGTAGGTGTTGTGTGCTTCCTCGTTTATAGCCAATAAGGAGAAGTTAATTAAGAGAGGGAACGATGAGGCGCTAATGAAATCATTCGAATGACAAAATAAAGAAACTTTTTTTCAACAGAGTTTTGTTGTATGTTTTCTTTTTTACTTCTATTCTTGCTTTAACGCGGTTTTCCTCTATTCTCCTGTGAACGTGGTTTTCTTTTCTTCTGTAATTTAATTTTGTTACCTCGTCCGGAATAAATGATGAGGAGGACCGCTGCACGAATTTGCATGCCGTCGGTTCACCCTCATCAACGCCAATTTGCACCAATTCCTATTTTTTTTTTCAAAATAATTTATTTTTTCTACCCTTAAGCAGTAAATCTTTTGAATTAAACTACAAGGTTAGCATACTTTTTGAATTTCAACCCTCGTAAATCTCTGTTTCAAGGTGTTAACAAAATGGCAAAAAGATTTAATTCTTGACTGAATTCAAATTAACTCTGCTAATATTTATGGGTAATAATCGTGCTCGAAAAGTTTGGCACGATTGTCGCTTTTCCAACATATTCTATTTTTTTTTTGTAGTTTTGTGCCAAATGGGCAATCAAAGTTTAATGGACGTAACGCGATAGTCGCCGCACGTCCGCTTCAATTTCTGTCCGTTTCCTCGAGGTTTCCAGAATTCGCAGAAGAAGAAAGAGAGAGATAAACGGGTTTACAAAAGCGGAATTTTGCGCAAATGACCCAAATAGCGTTCTCGAGCGGTTTGTGTTTGTGCTTTACGTCGTGGGCGACCCTCCTATCTATCCGCTAAGGGGTGAAGGTTTGAAGGATGAGAGCAGAAGACGTGAGATAGGAAATGCATGTGGGGAAGGATGGAATCTCTCCTAACTTTTATGGACCACCTCAATTCGATTTCGCGTTTCTGGAATGCCGACATAACCGTTCGCTTCAATAATTTTCTCTTCCCTCTGAACTTTATTGATTGCCATTTGTTACTTAACACGTGATTTACATCATTCTCATTCCTTTTCAACACTTCATGCATACTTTAAAAAATATTCGTGTAAAAATTAACCCATTTTCAAAAAGTTTTCCTGATAAAAAAAAAATTACACCATTTTTTTTATTTATGTCAAATTTTATTTGACAGTTTTACTGTCATTTTTATATTGAATTTAAGTCAGTTTTTATTTGACACTCACAGACTTTTCGATAGGTCAACCAATACCTCGCATAGTACGGATAATCGTTTCCTCAAACATACCGTAATCTTTTAAACCGGATTAATTGAAGTATTCGTATTTAAGTCGTGTAAGTTGTGTACTTTTTTAGAATTTATTTTGCTCAATTAATATTTAGTTCGTTTCGAAACTTTCAAACCAGAAATCCGGACTCTCCGAGGCCGTACTATACGAGGTATTGCTGTATAATTAAACATTAATTAAATATATCATTTCTATAAGAACAGTAACAAAATTGATAAACATTATTATTAGATAACTTTTCAAATTATAAAAAATATGTAGAACATTTGCTGCATTCAAAACTACACTAAAGAAAAGAAAAAAAAGTTTGTAAAAACACCATTTTTTTTTATTTATGTCAAATTTTATTTGACAGTTTTACTGTCATTTCTATATTGATGTCAATTTTTTATTTAACACTCACATACTTTTCGATAGGTCAACCAATATCTCGCATAGTACGGGTAATCTTTTAAACCGGATTAATTGAAGTATTCGTATTTAAGTCGTTTAAACCGATTACTTATATCTAAAAAAAAATGTGTCCTTTTTTTTGGAATTTATTTTACTCAATTAACATTTAGTTCATTTCGAAACTTTCAAACCAGAAATCCGGACTATCCGAGGCCGTACTATACGAGGTACTACTATATAATTAAACATTGATTAAAGATACCATTTTTATAAGAACAGTAACAAAATTGATAAACATTATTATTAGATAACTTTTCAAATTATAAAAAATATGTAGAACATTTGCTGCATTCAAAACTAAACTAAAGAAAAGAAAAAAATAGTTTGTAAAAACAAAAATATAAATTAGCTTCCGGCTCGGAATATAAACTATGTCATCCCTTTTTGCAAAGCTTACATCTCATGTCAAAACTTTGTACCTTTCAGGAAGAATCCACCGTTTCGCCCTCATTATTATGCATAAAGCATTCGTATCAGCATCACTGCATCGCCACGTTCCAGTAAAAAAACAGTTTAAAAAATATACTTTAAGAAAAATAATATTTTCATATGCAAATCCAAGCTTAAATGAAAAGTCTACTCCTTGATATTTAAGAAGAAAAACATGATTATTTTTCAAAATTTATGAAAATCACTGAAATTAATTGAAAGAGACTTTATATAATTTTGACTACAATCAATTTATTATAAAGATTTTTTTGTCAAATTATTGTTTTTTAATTAAAATTTGTATCAAAATTAAGAAATTTATTAATTATGAAAGATTTTAATAATATTTGTGAAAAAAAAAGGAAAATAAAACATAGAAAATAATGAAAACGCAGAGTGTTCTAACTGGGGTTTACATAGAACTGAGTAAATGTTTGAAGAGTTTGAGGTATTAACAATGGCAGGAGCGTAGTAAACTGGTGATATATTACGTGCTAAATTGCCCGAGTTCAAATATATTAAAGAAGTTCGTTATTTACTGTTTATACACAGCAGTGAATTTCCTGGTTTTTTGTTTAGCTACAACACTAAATCACGT